CCCCCCCATCCACTAGGTGGGATGCTGGTCCATCGAAGGGTAGAGTGGCACTGTGAGAGTAAAGTCTCTTACCCAAGAGGACAACACAATGTCCCCGGCCACGGCTCAAACCCGGACTGCTCGATCCGGAGACGAGCGCACTAACCATGAGGCCATTGTGTCTCTCTTGACCTGTATCGTTATCTAACACAATGGCTTGAGAAATTGAGGGGGCCTGGAAGGAATTGTCAAATACTGAGTCTTTGATTCAGGGACCAGCCTTGTTATGTCATTACAGTTTCTAAGGCCTTAGATTAACTTGTCACCCTTAGGCTACACTGGAAATTGTTCATGCTAATTAAAATACTTCTGTTGCATCTTTAGGGGCACAACATGGAGGCACACTACTGTTCCATCTTCCGGTCATTGGAGTCAGAGGTACTGTTCAAATGCCTCATGTTGAGGAGCCATAACCTATGGAATCAGAGCAACCAAGAATGGCAAGGTTATCCTCGACAGGTAATGTTCTCATTCTTCGGCGGTTTTAAAACATGTGAAACACTTCAAATGGCAATGCTTGCCAATATTGAATGCTGGCTGGGATCCCTGCCGAGTCTTAAAATCTGGACACGTGTGCAAATGTTCTGCCTAGTTACCTTTCTATATCTGCAAAAATCTGGAATTTTGTCCATGCTAGAATCATTCATTTTTAATTCTCGAGGGAAAATGTATCAGCTTGCAAAATACTTTGGTTCGTTGATGTAAAGCCACCATTAAATTATAATCACCCGACTATCCTACAGTAATAGATATGAACCTTTGTAATCCATCAAATCTATCAGTTTTTGTTCACTATTTGCGGAACAAATAATGTCCGCGCAGAAATATCTGAGCATATTTTCGCACCAAATGGAGGCTATTAGTTATATATTCCCCTGTATTCCCCCCTGACAATACTTGAATACCCTTGTGCACCCCTGTAAACTGACTTTTTCTGTACAATTTTCATGCTAGGATGCTGATAGTAAAGAATCAAGTATTTGCTGCCTTCTGGGAGGAACCAAAAATTTGTTGGACAGTTTGTCATCAAAGAAGCCAGTTGCAGAGGGGCATTTTGATGCTCTAACTTCTACAACGATTGGCAAGTATCATGACAACATCGAACAACTGCAGGTGCTATCCAAACATGTCTGGGTCAATGGAGACTTTCTTGATAACCGCTATGAAGTGGAAAGGTGAGTCAGTCTTATTTTGTCCCCTTTATAGTGGTCTGCCTGTTGATATGCCAGATCTTGGTAGTAATAAGACTTAACTAGGCCAACTGCTGTGTGGAAGTAGGGGGCTTTGTTAAATAGTGTCGTGTTGTGGCTGAAGTACGTGGATCTAGTCTTAATGAACGTCCCACATTAGTATCAGGTTGTTATTTGACACTCAAATAGAGTTTCATCATCGGCAT